TCTTGTGCTCTCTCACTCTCTCTCAAATAAATAAATAAAATCTTAAAAAAAAAAAAAGAGGGTAAAGGGGTCTTGAAGTCAAAATGTTGGAGAATCACTAATCTAGAGACCCGGGTGAAAAGAGCTTCTCTGAAAGAAAGGACCACTGACTGGTCTTGCCTGACCCTCTGGGTATAACTGGTGTCTGGGCCAAAGTCATACGGGGGAGGGAGGGTCAAATAGAACTCCTTATCTGTCCCCCCACAGTCACTACCTATATTTGTAGGGCCTCAGACCTCTTTCTAGTTTCACCTTTTCCCCTTGACCCTCAGTCTGAACAGTTAACCTACTAACTCTCCAGGCCTGAGGAGGTGGTTCTCGGAAGCAGAGCTAGGATGTGGGAGGCCTGTCTGAGGGGTGACGGGAAAGGACGGGGCTCCATTTCCTCACCACGTTTTCTCCCCTTTCTCATAAAGAAAGGTCAGACAGACTAAAATAGCTGCCCCTTCCCCTGCATCCTGTCACTATAGCAACACGAATCCGAAGGGACAAGACACTCCCCTCTCAGACACTACTGTTCTGCACTAGCAGCCTCTTCTAGTGTGCCTTTCTGTTTCTTTGGGCTCATACAACCCCCCCCCCACCGGGCTCCTAACTGGGCTTTGGTGGGGGGACCTGTCAAGCCTCCTACTCTCAGCTCCCCCGTCTTCTCCGCTTCCAGACGCCGAGAGAGTGTCATGTTGCAGAAAGGCCAGCAGAGGGAGCAGACAGCCTGGAATTGCAGGAAGCGGGCAGCACAGAGGTGCGGAGGTGCCCGCAGTCTCCAGAACTTGGAGATGAAGTAGAGCGGGGGTTCTCCGCGGAACAGTGTTTCGGTCGCGTCCCGTGGTACCTTAGTAACCTTGTGAACAGCATACTCTGCACCCAGAGCCTCAGCCACTGCTCCTCTCTTTTATGCTCTATAGACCCTTCACTTCTAAGCCAACTGTGTTCCAGTCTTGTTTGCACCAAACCCCAAATCTGTCCTGACCCCTTCATGTTCCATTGAAAGAGTGAGGCCAGCAGATAAACTACAGGATGGCCGAATGCTCACTTAGCACCAACCAAAGTCGACGACGCTACCTCCAATATTATCTTTCTCGGATGAACTTTTTCGTCGCCCCCCCACCTCCCAATATATTTCTTAGTTTTTTCTGGCTGGGGGGGGGGGGGGGGAGGGCTCTTCGTGGGCAGCCGATCCAAGGATCCATGCCGGGATTTATTGCCCACCACCAGCAGCGTGTTCAGCGGGGGGGGGTGGGGGGTGAGGCAGTATAGGGTCCCTCAAGGGAGGGGGAGGATCCTGGGGGTCCTGGGGGTGCAATAAGCCAGGCACCCCCTCTCTTGCTTTCAGCTACCCCGCCTCATCCTCCAGAACGGCAAGAGGGAGGGAAGTAGAAGGGAGGTGAGAGGCGAGCGGGAAGAGCGGCGGCGCGCCAGCTGCTTGAGCGAGAAAAAGTTTTTGCAAAAGGGAAAAAAAAAGTTTGCGCTTCTCGCGGGTGGTCCCGGCTCGCGGCCCGGCGGGCTGGGCCGGCGGGAGGGCTGGCGGCCAGGTTAGGGGGGGTGGGGGTGGCACTGAGGCTGCGCGGCCGTGGCCCTGTCCGCCCCCCCTCCCCACCGCACACCCCCCAGCCCAGACTCCGGCCCTGGACCGCGCATCCCAAGCCTTGCGCCCAGAAGGAGGTGAGAAGGGGGGCAGGCGGGGGACCACCTGGGAGCAGTGGGGGAGGGGGCCCGAGGGGATGCCCTGCTTGCGAGGGACTCTGCCCAGCCAAGAGGGAGACCTGGGGCACAGAGGCAAAAAAGGGGTGGGAGAGCCTGGGGTGAGATATAGAAAGTTTGAAGAATTTTTTCGTTTATATCTCCCTTTCTCTGTATCTTTTTTTTTTTTTCCTTCTGACAGTCTCTGTGTCTCTGTCTCAGGCAACCGTGGATCTCTTTGTCTGTCTCCGCCTCTCCCATATATTAGAAACATCTCACTTTCATGAGGTTGGGATGAAGAGGCTGGAGGGCCGGCTAGCTGGAGGTCTGCGTGGTAGAGAGGGAACTCCAGGTGTGTCCTGAGCGCCCGCAGGAAGACGTCAGTGTTTCTGGAAGGAGGGAACAGCTAAGGAGAGAGCCCTAGGTGGGGTGGAGATGGGTGTGTGTGAGGCGACAAAACCCGCGCGGGACGGCTCGGCTTGAACCCCTGACCTGTCTTGTGACAGATGTGCTTGCTGGTGCATGCGTTCTGGGGAAAAGGAGTACCTTCTGTTTTAGGAAGGGGGCGGGAGGGCCCAGCGTCTCGTCTAGGCCCTGGAAAGACTTCTCAAGGAATAGGGACTCCTGAGTCCCCAAGGGCTGTGGTCAGGGGGCTTAGGAGGAGCCGAGGAGACCTTGTCTTGACCCTCTGACCTCGGGACCACCAGGACAGCTGGGCCAGCCGCAGGGAGACCCCTACTGGGACTGGGCGGGACCACTGGCCACGGCCTGCCTACGTATCCCCGTTGGAACCCCCTCCCCAACGGGAGCTGGGGGCCGAGGCCCCTCCTCTGGCTCAGACCACCCTGCCTGCCCTTGCTCCCCGCTCTGAAGCCTCTTTCAGGCCCGGTGACCCCGAAACAATCCGCCCTGGGCAGCTAGCTTTGGGGACAGGATTAGGGAAAGGGGATCCCATAGTGACTGGGGACTTAAGGCTTTGGGGGCTGGAGAACTGGGGTCTTCATAGGATAGGTCTTTACTGTCCAGTGGAAGGAGAAGGCGGGGCAATTTCCCGGGGGAGTTGTAAGGGCCGGAATTAGGGTGGTTTTCCCTATGGGGGCGGGGTCCGGAGACACCCCCCCTCAATTATCTGCACGGCATCCCCAACCAGGCGGTACAGACCCCGCCCTTGACGTCACTAAGGGGTTCCCGGGGGTCTCGAGGGGTTAACCCTTGGGAAGCCAGCTGTGATAATCAGGAACCTAAGGTGTCCTGACCCCTTCCTCCGCCCATACACACCTTATTTTATTTACCCAGTCACTTTGTGTCCCTGTAGTTTCTGGATTCTTCTTTCTTTTCCACCCCGCCACGGGGACCCCCACGCTCCAACAGTGCCCCCCGCCCCCCGGGCGCCTCTGCCAGCTTTCTGGATGAACTGAGGGGAGGAGGGAGGAATGTGTCCCGCCTCCCAACTACACCCCCCCCCCCGCCCTCCCTCCACCGCGGCTCGCTCGACTGGGCTCCCGGGGCGGGAGGGGGAAGCGGAGCCGTCTGCAGCCAGAGCCTGCGGCGGCGACTTGGGTGGGCCGAGGAGGCACGGGGGCGGGGAAGGCGGGACTGGGAGAAGGGGGGCGGGGCCTACTCCTGGGAGTTGGGGAGCGGGGGTGCGAGGGGGACTCTGGAAAATAGGGAGACACAGAAGATGATTCAGGACTCCAGCAGGGCAACTCTAGAGCTCCCTGCCCCATCCTGCGCTCTCATCCACACTCCAGAAAAACTTAACTGAGGCTGGAAAAGTTGGCAAAATTTTCCTGTCACTAGTGTGAAGGGGAGACGTGGGTGGGCTGTGGCACGCGTGGGCGAGGAGGGATGTCGCCCCATTTCCATCGCGGCTCCCCTGCGGCTGGGCAGTGGCACAGGAAGATGACTGAGTAGGCACGTTTGGGGGAGTCTCTTTAGTGTTTGGGGGGTCGTTTGCGAGCCCCTGCCTCCTTCTCCTGGGTGAGTCATAGAGGATGGAGGCGGGAGAAGTGTCCCCCCATCCAGCTGCCAGCCAGCTGTGCCCCCCCACACACACACACAAAGTGCCAAGGTCGAGTTGGGAGGTCTTGGATGCGGGATCCAGCTCTCCGCTGGGAAAGGAGGAGTTAGGAAGGGTACAATCCAGGCTGCGGGGCTTGGGCTGGGTCATGGGGTCCGGGTTCCGCTCCCCATCTTACCCCGCCCTCACCCAAAATCCCAGCATCCCGGGATCACCCACCGCGCCGGCCGGCCCGCTCCCGGTCGTTCTCCACCCTACCCCGCCCCACCCCACCCTCGGTCCCGGGAGACCGGAAAACCCGGGGTGGAACAAAAACTGGAGTTTGAGGAGAAAAGCGGACAGCCGAACCCTCTCCCTCACAGCTCTTCTCTAATGGATAATGACTTTGTTTTTTCATTCTCTCAAAGCCTTCTCTTACAGTCCTTTCCTGCTCCCCCAAAAGAGACCAAGTGAGGTGGGCGCCCAGATTCAGACTACCCCAGGATAACACCAGTTTCCACTCTTTGTACTCAACAGGCCCGGGAGGCTCCGCTCAGAAACCTTATCCCCTTCTATACACAGTTTTCTGCCTTAGAAAAAGGCAGATCGTCTGTGCTCCCTCCTGGCCCCACCAGCCTCTCCGTCTGGGCTGTGGCGAGAGCTCCCTCTGCTGGATACTGGAGAGATTGTAGACGGCCTGTCGTGGGCAGGAACAAATGAAGGCAAAGGGGCTCAGCATGAGTTCCCCCATCCCACCCCTCAAAGCTGGCCCATGGTCAGAGCAAGAAGAAATAGAGGGCCATGGCATAAAATCACTTGAGGCTCATACAGGCACAATTAGTCCATAACACTCCCTCCTAAACACACACACACACACACACACACACACACACACACACACACACGAGAGCTTAGACCACCCAGGCAAAGATCCCACTCAGTTCCCACAAAGATCCTCAAGACAGCCTCTGCCTCTTTGGGACGCCTTTCCTTACCCCCCCTGGCTGAGTGATGCTCATTTCACTTTGATCTCCCGTGGCAGATGTCTTAGAGGTTCTACACCTGAATTAGTTATCTGACCTTCCTTACTTCCCTCCTGCCTTTATAACTTGCACATCTCCCTTCCCCTCCTGCAGTGTCCTCACACTCTCCTCTGAGACACCATGTTCAACCCGATGACCCCGCCGCCAGTCAGTAGCTATGGCGAGCCCTGCTGTCTCCGGCCCCTCCCCAGTCAGGCCCCCAGCATGGGGACAGAAGGTCAGTGCAAATACCAGTCTCCAGGCCTTGAGGCCTGGCGGCTCCCTCAGCCAGCCCCAGGGATCCTTCTTCCATCTCCTACCCCATGCCAGTCTCTAATCCACAGAAGATTCAAGGCTCTATGTCGTATAGGCTTGGGATATGGGATCAAGTCTCTCCCGGGGTTTCAAGGTGAGGCCTTATGTGCCCCCCATTCCCATTCCCCATTCTGGCTCTCTCTCTTTTCTAGGACTGCCTGGTCTGCCCTTCTGCCACCAGGCCAACCTCATGTCTGGCCCCCACAGTTATGGGCCAGCTAGAGAGACCAACAGCTGCACCGAGGGTGAGGCCTCAGGCAACATCTATTCCCTTTCTGCCTCATTGGGACTTGCTCTAAAAGAGAAAGTTGCAGGGGGAAGGCAGGGGATCTGACTTGGAAGAGGAAATGCCTGGAGATTGGAGCAAGGGGTCAGAGCATGATCAGGTCACAGATGGGGTCAGTAGGGCAAAGCAGTCAAGTGTCATTGTTTTGTTGAGAGTCAGGACCCATGGGTTGGGTGGAGGGAGACATGACCCCATTTACCATAGCTGTCTCCCTTGTTTCCTGCCCCAGCCCCACTCTTCCCTCCTCCCCGAGGTTCAGTCAAGTTGACCAAGAAGCGGGCACTCTCCATCTCGCCTCTGTCAGACGCCAGCCTGGATCTGCAGACAGTTATCCGCACCTCACCCAGCTCCCTTGTGGCCTTCATCAACTCACGCTGTGCATCTCCCGGGGGCTCCTATGGTCACCTCTCCATCGGCACCATGAGGTGCAGAGAGCCTTGGGCTAAGAGGCCCCTAAAGACCCTACCAAACCCCGTTAAAAGCCTCAAGCCTTCCAAAGCACCTGACCCTATTTGAATCCTTATCATTTCAAAGGTGTTGAAGCCCTCTTCGGGTGCTTCCCTGGGCCTGCCTCAACCCCATCCCATACGTTTTTCAGAGACACTCCAAAATAGCCCAAGGACTCCTGAAATTCTTTCAGATGATAGTCCTAAGTAACTGCCTCTCCTCCTCCTCCTCCCCCTCCTCAGCCCCTCTCTGGGATTCCCACCCCAGATGAATCACCAAAAAGGGACCTCGCCTTCCTTCGGGGTCCAGCCCTGTGGTCCCCATGACCCCACTCCAGGTGGGATGATGCCGCATCCTCAGTCCCGGGGACCCCTCCCAGCTTGCCAGGTGAGAGTCATCATATTGCTGCCCAATTTCCCTCAGCTCAGGGAGGGTGGGTGGTGGACTCTATGGGGAAAGGTGAAGGAAGGACAGGGGATCGAAAAGTTCTCAGTAGGAGAAACATAAAGGGGTATGGTTGCTGGGGTTCACTCCTTGGGGCTGAATCAGACTCTTCCAAATGAGATCCCGCCTTTTGCCCATCCCAGTGCAGTCTGAGGAGGAAGTCTCTTCCAAACCCAGGGGTTCCAGCTGCTTGGGTGGGGGCACTCAGGGCAGGAAGACCTGGCTGGGCTCCCTCTTCCTTCTGCCCACTTCTACCTTCATCACCCTCACCTCTTCCCTTGGGGAAGCTGAAGTCTGAGCTGGACCTGCTGGTTAGCAAGTGCCCAGAGGAGCCCTTGGAGGGCGATATGTCCAGCCCCAACTCCACAGGCACACAGGTAAGGGGGGGCGACTTTAACTCTGAAACCTGAGCTAAATAAAAGCTGTCACCCCAGTGACCCTAGGATTGCCTCCTCTGCCCTAGGATCCCCTGCTGGGGATGTTGGATGGGCGGGAGGACCTGGAGAGAGAGGAGAAGCCTGAGCCTGAGTCTGTGTATGAGACTGACTGCCGCTGGGATGGCTGTAGCCAGGAATTTGACTCCCAGGAGCAGCTGGTGCACGTGAGCCCCAGGGGGTAACAGGAATGCTGGCTGGATCTTGTAGGACATTCTGGTGGGACTTTGTGTTGTTAGGCTAAGGGCAGGAGGTCCCAGGATACCGAGGTCAGAGGTTGAGTGGCCAGTTGGGTCGGCAGAAACTCAGGAGCTATAGCTTTGTTTTAGAAACGTGGGAGAATGGAGGTGCGGACTATGATGTTCTTTCTGCGACTTCTTCCCCCATGAGGTGGAGCCTTGGAGGGATATGGTGGGGTGAGGAGGTTCCAGGGAAGGTCTGTTTTGGGACTTGGGGGCAGAAGGGAACCTCAGAGAGCCTCTGTATCTCCTCCTTCAGCACATCAACAGTGAGCACATCCATGGGGAGCGGAAGGAGTTCGTGTGCCATTGGGGGGGCTGCTCCAGGGAGCTGAGGCCCTTCAAAGCCCAGTACATGCTGGTGGTGCACATGCGCAGACACACGGGGGAGAAGCCACACAAGTGCACGGTGAGGCCCCCACTTCCCAAGCTCAGGGTCCTTCCCTAAATTGGGGCTCCCCACCAAGAGCTCATATGACTTTCCTGGAGCCTAGGCACTTTGCCGCCATAAACAAATACTTAAAATTGTATCTTAGGACTGGGTTAGTATAAAGATGAACATATTGATGTTGTGTATTAGAACACTTTCTTGGACCTAAAAGCTATTTTTCCCTTGCTTTAAGAAATTAAGACATTTCTGTGGGCCCCCAAAAGTACCCTGGGCCCTAGGCACTGTGCCTGCTACTCTGCCTAATGGAGAAGCTCGGTGTCAAGGACATAAGACACTCCCAGAATGACCCCATCCTAAGCCAGTCTAAGATTCCCATGCAGGGAGATCTGCTCTGGCTTGATGGGGAGATGCTCGCTGCCGCACCCCCTCCGGCTTCCAGTTTGCCGAGCTCTTGCCTGCCCTCGTCCCTGAATTTTCGGAATTGCCCTCCCATCTTGAGTTATAGTCTCTGATGTATGTCCCCTTTGAGATTTACAGTTCTTCTAATCTCCATGTCCTTCTGTCTGAGAGCTATCTTTTGACCCCAACATCCCCTAGTTTGAGGGGTGCCGGAAGTCATACTCACGCCTCGAAAATCTGAAGACGCACCTGCGGTCACACACGGGTGAGAAGCCGTACATGTGTGAGCACGAGGGCTGCAGTAAAGCCTTCAGCAATGCCAGTGACCGAGCCAAGCACCAGAATCGGACCCACTCCAATGAGGTGAATGCCCCACCTAAGGGACCCTCCCCACTTGAGAAGCCAGCTACTGGGCAGATTCCCCCATAAGAAATCCCTTAGCCCAGCACCCATTCCACAGAGGTGAGTCCCCGTCCCCTACCTCATTCACCTGGATAAAGTCTTTCTGAAACCAAGAACTTCCACATAACCACCCCATCGGCTACCTCTAACCAGCCAAAGGGCCAACCTAAATAGACCTTTCGGGCTGGAGGGGACCCATGGTCCCTTCAACCCCTGGCTTTATGAAGCCTCACAGACCTGGGCTGTCAGTTTTCCTAATCTTTCCCTTGACCCTCTCATTTTTTGCTCCAAGGGCCCCCCTGTCTCCTTAATTCCCTGGGTGCTGTGCATTCCTCCCTGACCCTCTCGTCCCCAACTGATGCTACCTCTTCTTCCCAAGCCTTCTGCACTCTCCTGCTTTGATTCCTTTGCCTGATGTCTTCACTGTCCACCCAACAGAAGCCGTATGTTTGTAAGCTCCCTGGCTGCACCAAACGCTACACAGATCCCAGCTCGCTCCGGAAACACGTCAAGACAGTGCATGGTCCTGATGCCCATGTGACCAAGCGGCACCGAGGAGACGGCCCCCTGCCCAGGGCACCGTCCCTGTCCACAGTGGAGCCCAAGAGGGAGCAGGATGGAGGCCCCATCAGGGAGGAGAGCAGACTGACCGTGCCGGAGGGGGCCGTGGTGAGCTGGCCCAGGCGACTCCTGCCTCCATGCCCCGGCCTGCCCTGCCCACATCCTTCCAGTCCCCTCCCAACTCTTCCATGTCCTCCTCTGTAAATCACTCTTCTGTGGAAGTCCTCCAGTCTCTTACCCCGGTGGTGCTCCTTGGGTTACCCCAAATCAAGAGATTTTCGTATAATTAATTATTGAATTGGTTCAACAAACTCTTATATGGGGCTTAGCATATTATTCTAATTTATGTATAGTTTACATGTACAATTCACATTAGTATGATTATAATTTCATGTACTCCTCACAACAGCTTCGTGGAAAAGGAACTTCTTCTCCACATTTTCAGATGACGAAACTCAGGCATATAGACAAATGGTCCAAGGTCACCGAACTAAGTGCAAATTTGAGCCCAGGCAGTCTGTGCTCCAACCTAGGCTCTTCTCATCAACATCTCTCCAGTTTGCCCCCTCTCCTCACCCGCTCAGCCCTCCCTACACCTGTAAGCTTCCCCTCGGTCCTTGCAGTCACTGAGACACAGGCTTGAGCCACTCACCAAGTTCAGGGAACTGGGGGGGCGGGGAGGAGGGGCCGCCCTCAGCCCTCATGTTCCCCGCAGAAGCCACAGCCCAGCCCTGGGGCCCAGTCGTCCTGCAGCAGCGACCACTCCCCAGCAGGCAGTGCGGCCAATACAGATAGTGGTGTGGAAATGACTGGAAATGCAGGGGGCAGCACTGAGGACCTGTCCAGCTTGGATGAGGGGCCTTGCATTGCTAGCACTGGTCTGTCCACTCTTCGACGCCTTGAGAACCTCAGACTGGACCAGCTACATCAACTTCGGCCGATGGGACCTCGGGGCCTCAAACTGCCCAGCCTGACCCATACTGGTAAGACCTGGGTGTGGAGGCAGTCGCTGGGCTGAGATCTGGACCTTCTCTGAAGTTGGAAGGAGGACTTCCCTCCTCAGGGTTGCCCTATAGCACCTTTGTACAATTAGCAAAAGGTCCCCCTTCCTCAGACACTTTCCTTCCATCCATCAGGTAATTGTGATACACAAAGTATGACGTGAATGCTGCTCCCTAGGGCTGTGCAGTGTACAACCTATACAACTGTTCACAGTGGTTCTGAATCCCTGGTGACGCAGACGTAGAAAGGACATGGGCCGTCCTAGGGTCTGAGTCGTCAGAGTTAAGGAGCCTGTCCCTGGGGTTCCAGGACAAGGCCATCCCATGGGGGAGGCAGGGTGAGATTCAGAGGGCTCCCTGACCACCCTGCTTTTTCTCCTTATCCCTTGTAGGCACCGCTGTGTCCCGCCGCCTCGGCCCCCCAGTTTCTCTTGACCGCCGCAGCAGCAGCTCCAGCAGCGTCAGTTCAGCCTATACCGTCAGCCGCCGCTCCTCCCTGGCCTCCCCTTACCCCCCTGGCTCCCCGCCCGAGAACGGGGCATCCTCTCTGCCCGGCCTCACCCCTGCCCAGCACTACCTGCTCCGGGCAAGATATGCTTCAGCTAGGACAGGTGGTACCCCACCCACAGCAGCACCCAGCCTGGATCGGATGGGGAGCCTTCCTGCACCTCCCTGGAGAAGCCGAGCTGAGTATCCAGGATACAACCCCAGCGTAGGGGTCACCCGGAGGGCCAGTGACCCGGCCCGGGCTGTTGACCGCCCTGCCCCAGCCAGAGTCCAGCGGTTCAAGAGCTTGGGCTGTGTCCACACGCCCCCCACCATGGCAGGGGGAGGACGGAACTTCGATCCCCAACTCCCAACTGCCGTCTACTCACCACAGCCCCCCAGCATCACTGAGAATGTCGCCTTGGATACCAGAGGGCTGCAGGAGGAGCCAGAAGGTGGGACCTCCATGATAGGCAGTGGCCTAAACCCCTATATGGACTTCCCATCCACTGATACTTTGGGATATGGGGAACCTGAGGGGGCAGCGGCTGAACCTTATGGAGCTAGGGGTCCAGGCTCCCTGCCTCTTGGGCCTGGTCCACCCACCAATTATGGGCCAAACCCCTGTCCCCCGCAGGTCTCCTATCCTGAACCCCCCCCAGAACCATGGGCTGAGTTCCCTTCCCACTCCGGGCTGTACCCAGGCCCCAAGGCTCCAGCTGGAGTCTACAGTCAGTGTCCTCGTCTTGAACATTACGGACAAGTGCAGGTCAAGCCAGAACAGGGGTGTCCAGTGGGTTCTGATTCCACAGGACTGGCGCCCTGCCTCAATGCTCAGCCCGGTGATGGGCCTCCTCGCCCACAGCCTCTGTTCTCCCACTACCCCCAGCCTCCGCCTCCCCAATATCCCCAGGCAGGTGCCTATACCCAGCCACCCCCTGATTATCTTCCTTCAGAGCCCAGGCCTGGCCTGGATTTTGATTCCCCCACTCACTCCACAGGGCAACTCAAGGCTCAGCTGGTGTGTAATTATGTTCAGTCTCAACAGGAACTGCTCTGGGAGGGTGGGGGCAGGGGAGATCCCCCAGTCCAGGAACCTCTCTACCAGAGTCCCAAGTTTCTAGGGGGTTCCCAGGTTAGCCCAAGCCCTGGCAAGGGTCCAATGGCCACATATGGACCTGGCTTTGCACCTAACTTGCCCAATCACAAGTCGGGCTCCTATCCCGCCCCTCCACCCTGCCATGAAAATTTTGCAGTGGGGGCAAACAAGGCCCCCCATAGGGCAACAGCACCACCCCGACTTCTGCCCCCACTGCCCACTTGCTATGGGACCCTCAAGGCAGGGAGCACCAACCCCAGTTGTGGTCATCCTGAAGTGGGCAGGCTGGGAGGGGGTCCTGCCTTGTACGCTCCTCCTGAAGGGCAGGTGTGCAACCCTCTGGACTCTCTTGACCTTGACAACACTCAGCTGGACTTTGTGGCTATTCTGGATGAGGCCCAGGGGCTGAGTCCTCCCCCTTCTCATGATCAGGGGGACAGCTCTGAACACACCCCACCTCCCTCTGGGCCCCCCAACATGGCTGTGGGCAACATGAGTATCTTACTGGGATCCCTGCCTGGGGAGACACAATTCCTCAACTCTAGCACCTGAAGAGTGAGGAATCCCAGGAATCCCAGATCCATTTCCTAAGGGGTTTCCATTCCCTCAGAGAAGTTGGGATGAGGAGCCATAGCCCCCTGGGATGCCCCCGGGATGGGAGGTATGGGTTGGGGCTCTATACCTTCTGTATATGTTTTGGGGAGGAATTTGATAATGACACTGTTTCTGGATAATAAAGGAACTGCATCAGAAAGCGCCCTGCTTTACAGTTTACTATTTTGGGGGCGGGGGGTGATGACAGGGAACAAGAAGAGAAGTAAAGGTTAATCCACCCACTTCCCTTTTTTGGGAGGCTCCCCCACCCCATCCCAACCCCTCAGGTCAGACTCACAAAGACAGTCATCTGGGAGACACAGGATTTAATGGGATGTCCTCAAAACAGAACATCCACTATCCCCACCACCACCAAAGGGTAGCTAACAGAGATCAGTGGAAACATGTTTTTGTCTTCTTCCTTGCCCCAGTCAGGGGAAAAGGCTGGTGAAGTCAGTGAGCATGAGTTGGACTAGCTGCCCAGGGTAGAGAGCATGGGCGGCTGGGTCAGATGTCTCCTGCTCTGGCCGAAATAGGGTTGGCCCAAACACAATTCCCAGGTTGTGCGGGGTCATGCGGTTCTTATCTGAGTGTGCTATCACCCTGTGGGCAAAGATCAAGAGAAGGGGCTATAATGCAGCAGCTTCCCCACTTCAAATAAACCTAACCCTTCAAAGGGATGAACAGCAAAGTGTTCACTTTGGGACCCCTCCATGTGGTTGGTGGCTGAAGGAAACCAAGCAGAGAGCTGCAAGGGGCATGAAGATGGGACCAGTAGAGACACCTTCAGGATACAAGTTGGAAAATACAACCCAGGAGATGCCTGCCTCTTCCCAGCCCCTAGAGTCCTCTTTTTTCACCGATTAGGCGACTCTAATTCAAATGGCTATCCTCTCTCAGAAGCCACTGCCCAGGCCCAGCTCAGCCACGGAAGCCATGAGCACGGTCCCAACAGGAGACAAAGAGGCTGGGGGAAGGGAGCGGTGAGATGGCCCTCATTTCTCTCACAGCATCCCTGGGCATCTCTTGATCCCCATTTTCCCACTTGATGCCCTGCCTGGGGGTTGCCTGTTTCCTCCATCTGCCCACTGAACAGGTGAGAAACCTAGGTGTCCCCTACCTTCACTGCTTCTGAACACAGTCCCCGCTGCATGCCCCACTCCACCCTCCCTCCGCGTACACAGAGATGTTCAGTCGTCCTGACCTGCATAAATGTTCCAGGAGGTACCGCAGAGTGTCACGGTTGGGCTTGGGCATCGAGCCTATTAATTCTCGTATCTGAGAGAGGCGCTGCTCTGATTCAGAGACTGCTAGAGAGAAAAAGTGAAGGGAAGGGCATGGCGGGTGAGGCTATGGAAAGTGCTAGGGAAGGGTGGGTAAACTTGCTACTCTTTCCCACGCCCACGGAAGACACCATTAATGTACCACAGCTTTCTTTTCCGCTGAGCCTAACTGCAGCTTTATTATTTTTTTAAGATTTTATTTTTAAAGGGTGCCTGGGTGGCTCAGTCGTTAAGCATCTGCCTTCAGCTCAGGTCATGAGCCCAGGGTCCTGGGATGGAGCCCCGAATCGGGCTCCCTGCTCAGTGGGAAGCCTGCTTCTCCCTCTCCCACTCCCCCTACTTGTGTTCCCTCTCTCACTGTCTCTCTCTCTGTCAAAACATAAATAAAATCTTTAATTGTCACAAACTTTAAAAAAAAAAAGATTTTATTTTTAAGTAATCTCTACACCCAACATGAGGCTCAAAGTCACAACCCTGAGATCAAGAGTCAAATGTTCTACCGACTGAGCCAGCCAGGAGCCCCCGCAACTGCAGCTTTAGAATTCTTTTTAAGTCAGCCCTCTAAACATTCACACACACACACAAATAATAACTGGAGTTGGCACAGGAGTTGAAAGTTGTTTTCCATCTCTGTGCTCAGTTTGGAATAGAAGGGTGTAAGGGAAACTCTATTCTTTACCCTTCACGCCCCACCCCCATACCAAGGGTAGTGCCCAAAGTTCTCATCCCTTACCAAGGGCAGCACGAAAATGGGGCAGCAGCAATGGGGGCACCAGAGGCTGGGGTAGCTCCCTGAGAAAAAGCTTCAGGGCTCCAGTGACCACGTGAATATCATCCCACTCAGCACTGTCCAAATCTAATCGGCCTTCTGGGAGGAGAAGGAGGTACAGAGGGGCTCAGGGCTCATGAAGGGCCAGAGAGATCCAGAGACTGAGAGGTCAGGAGTTTGGGAGAAGATCCAGTTAAGGCAGACCACAGAAATACCTAGGAGATCCACAGGGGGGCAAGGCAGCAGAGGTGGGGATGGGGACAACCCACCCAGGGGCAGGACACAGGGATCCAGAAGGAGTTGGGAGGATGTCAGATGTTTTAAGGGTCTGAGGGGCCTTCCACGTAAGTACCTTGTCCTGGCTGTTCTGGGAACACGTACCTCCCATCGGAGGTGACCGCCCGCTCTGCAACATGGATGAGAAGAGATCAAGAGCTAAGCCATGCAGTTCTAGCCAGACCTCCCCATTCTGCCAGCTCCCTGAGAAACTGCCTGTGGTTCCGAGGCATGAAATTCCTAGTACCACCACAAGCCCACAAGCCTTCTCACCTCTGTCCACCAGGAAGCGAAGTTTCTGGACCACCGCCAGGTTCCCGCTCACCCGGTAAATGCCATCCACATCTATACCTGGGAGATGAGGCAGAGAGCAAATAAGGATTCCTGCTCTAAGTTATTATTTTTTTAAAAGATTTTATTTATTCATTTGAGACACAGAGATACAAAGAGAGAGAGAGAGAAAGCATGAGCAGGGGAGAGAGGCAGAGGGAGAGGGAGAAGAAAGCTCCTCGCTGAGCCAGGAGCCCGATGTGGGGCTCGATCCCAGGACCCTGGGATCATGACCTGAGCTGAAGGCAGACGCTTAACCATCTGAGCCACCCAGGTGCCCCTCCTGCTCTAAATTAAATAAGGATTCCTGCTGTAACCTGTGTAAGGTGAGGACTGGTGAGAGATGCAAGGGTGGAGAGGAATAAGGCAGAAGGAAGACTAGGGTGGAGGAGGTGGGGAATTCTAGGCCTTGGCCCATTGGAAGGGGAGGTTGTGGGGTCTCTGGAAAAGTGACCTCTCTTATCCACAGCAGCAATGCAGAGCCGCACAAAGCTGGGCACGGTGTCCCCTTCTCTCTGGCACAGTGATTCCAACTGGCAGCCAAACACCTGGTCTGGAGAGGCACAGAGTGAGGTGGGAGGCCAGTGGGAGCCTCACCCATGGAAGCTCTTAGCACAGGTTTTCACCCTAAAGTTGGGCTGGCCCTCCTTGGCTGCCTTTTTTAGCGCCCCTCCCCCCCACGCAAGGAGGTGCACCCTTCCTCCCCCAAAATTAAGCAGTAGAGGAGCAGAAGACCGCTGATCTAGTTCTGGGACGTTCTACTGTGAGTCTCACTGAAGTTTTCTCATCCACGAAGTGGGCTGATGCCCAGATGAGGAATATAAACGTGCTTGCAAAAATACTACAGCAGGTACGGAGGAAAAGGGTGCCCCTGGCCCAGCCCACCTCACCTCGGAGCAGCCCACGCTCCTGCAGGCTTTGCAAGGGTGGTCTCTTTGCGATAAGCCGCTTTAGTTTGCTCCGGACGCGGTTCTGCTCCGTTCCTTCGGGACACCGACCTGTAGGAGCAGGTGGAATAAGGGCCCGAGACCGCCGCGGGGAAGGAGCCCACCGAGCCGGGACACGCGCCCCCGGCCCCGCCCACCCGAGGCCCGCCCCTCACTGGAGCTCCGGCGGCCGCTGAGCCGCAACAGTGGCTTGGACACCGGCTCCGACTCCTCTTCGTCGTCCTCCCCGCCGCTCAGCTCCTCCAGCTCTGCCGGCCCCGAACCTGACTGACGCAGTTCCAGGGGGTTCTCTCGATCCTAGACCCGGAAGGGCGAGGTGGGCCGAGTCGGAGATTGGAAGAGAGGAGAGAGAAATCTGCACCCCCCAGCTCGACGCAAGGAGGCCCTAGCCGGCTGCTGGGGTCCCACGTCCCAGCCCCATCCCAGGGCCCTACACTGAGACCACCCTGCCCCCTACCACCCCCGAATCCTACTGTTCCTTCCCCACTCCCTCTGTCCCACCCGGGCCGAGCCTCTCCCCAGACTCTGCCCCACCATCTCCCACCCATCTCACCAGGCGTTCGATGACCGCCCGCAGCGCGCGGTACCAGGCTCGCAACTCGGTCTCCTGGTCTGATTGCAGCAGGAACTCGTGGCCAGGGACCGTGCGGATCTGAGAGACCAGCGGAGAAAGGGCTTGCTTGAGTCAGCGGGGAGGAGCACAAAAAGCTGGGAGGCCGAGCGGAAGACCTGTGCGGGAACCTGTGCGGGAACCCGGAGCGCACCTTCGGGTCGGGTGGAGCTTTGGGTACGCGCAGGAGGCACTCACGTGCAGGACGTTGCGGCGGCTGGACAGGTGGCGGCCGTGGGCCAGGGCGGCTCCGCGCAGGTCCACGCTGCTTTCGGGTCGGCTACCCGCTGGTCCCTGGCAATTGGGAGAAACTGAGGCCCTGTTCCCCTCGTTGCCTCCCTCCCACCCGGGGGACTGCGAGGACACGGGAAGCTGTGCTTCTTCCTCTACTTCCCCCTCTCCCACCTCCGCCCCAGAGCTGGCCTGAGGCTGTAGGAGTGGGGCCCGAACCCTTTTCCGCACGCCCCCTCCCCCCCTCCCTCACACTCACCCAGATTGAGGAGGGCGCGGCGGGCGGTGGCTCCCGGTAGAACACCAAGCTGTTACCTGCTAATACCACCCAAGAGGGGCTCCAGTTCTTCCTGCGGGGGCGGAGGGGGCAGTGGCAGTAGGGCAGAGGTCAGTTAGAATCATGTGGGGAGGGAGCTCTTCCCGCACTCGGCTCCAGGGAATCCAGCCGCCCAAGCCCCTGCGGTCTTCCCGGGTCCTGTCACCTGAGCTTCCGCCCCCCCAGGGCGATCTTGGTCACGTTGAGCAGGCCCGACTTTTCCACCTCCTGGGGAGTGGAGCGAGGGGTATTAGTAAGCCACCCAGCGCCCCCCACAGCCCCCACGGCTTTCCCAAGGCGGGGGGTCGTGTCCCAGGAGTGAGGTCTTTTACGGTTGGGCGGGTGGTGGAGGCTGCGTAAGAGAGGATACCCAGAGAACACTGAGAAAGAGGAAGACGTT